GAAGTCAAAAGATAAGTGGTCCTACATTTTAGACCAGAGGATCACATTCAAAGATATTTTGCTATGCTTCTGTAGGCAAAAGGTAGAAAAAAAATTTTAACAAAAGGGACAAAATCCTGTTAGTGTAATAAACATGAACTACAACCAAAATGGAATTCCTAAAAGGTATTTGCTTTAAAAAAAGAGAACTATTGTTTTATTTTCAGAGATGGTATTATTGCTAGTATTTTAGTGGAAAATGACTTTAATGAAAAGGATATTTTCTGTGATGCACTTCAAAATTCACACTTAACTTGATTCACTGTATCTTCTCAGCAAATTCAAACATTGCAACAATTATAACAAAAATTTAGATCAATATCTACAAACTAAAATCTAAAATGATTTAAGTTTTCCTACCCAGAGGCTTGTAAAAATTGCCCTTATTATGTATCAAAATATTTTAAGCTTCATAGTAATAAAATAGACAATGTAGGGAATTTTGAGATCTTAAAGAGTATTTTTTTAAAATTCTTATCTGATACAATGGGATTCCTTAAGTCTAATTTTCATATAGTGTATGGTTTTATCCATAAAACTTGAGAGTTCAAGTTTTTTTTTTTTTTTAAGTAGTCTAACTTCTTGGGGAAATTTTGTTTTGATTGTTCAAAACATTTATTTGGAAATGAATATTGTGGTCACTTTAATGTGAGCTATTATATGATTTTAATACAGTGCTCACCTTTTTCTTAATTTCCAGTACCTGTTTATAGATATTCATGAGTCTGTTAAAGAAAAGTCTGTTTAAAAAGAGCTTCACTTGGTTCACTCATTAATCTGATAGCATAATTACCTAGAAAAGAAATTCAAAACCAGTATCCTTAACATTTTATACTTGGATATTCCCTAGAGTCCATCTCATGCTCAATGCTAGACCCATAGCGATCTAGGGCAAAACTGATTATCTAAAAGAAACAGATGTTTTCAAAAGTAAATGAAACCAATAGTCTAAAATATACTTATGTATCAGCCAGATGTCGAAGGAGGGGTCCGTTTTAATGTTGTCCAACAGGAGCACATCACATCACTTTCCTTTAAATGTAGCTAATAAACAACGGATTGATTCCTTCATTTATCAATGTGGCAATTTGCATAATTAATATTCTATTCTAGTTTTACAAAGAATGTTTAAGGAAGTTATTTCTCCCAAATTACATGTCAACATACTGTTTTTATAAATATATCCAGTTAGGCTTAAGATAATACTCACTTAAAATTAGATGCTAGTCAGTGGAACTAAGTTATAAAATGAACTTTCAATATCGAGAAGTTTTGAGATATTTGACTCGTTACTACAGGAACTGAAAATACCAAGTCCTCTCTCCCTCAAGTCTCTTCTTTGCATAAGCTTCTAATTGCTCGAGGAATTGTGTAGAGGTCAAATGTACATTCCTCGTTCACAAAAAAAAAAAAAAAAAAAAGTTTTGACTGGTTAAAACCAAGTATGAATTGTATACGTTAGAAATTCTGTTTTGAGGGAAAAAAAAGGGAAGCGTAAAATTTCAAACTGTAATTTATTGTGCTTTATGATAAAATCTTTGTGGATCCCCACCCAAGCCCTTCAGGGAGTTTTTATAAATGGTACATTTTCAAGCGCCAAATCTTATATCCCATTTCTTTCACAGAAATTTAGAATACGACTTTTACTACAGGCTATTTAATATATTTCATTTGACAGTACTAGCATAACACTCTATTTTCATATGTATCTTTAATGTTTTATAGAAAATTACATGTCATGATTTACAGGTCTGTGCCGGGCCCTGCTCTATCTTAGGGCCGTTTATGACAGTCCCTCTGCAGTACCCTCTGCACGTGCGTTACCAGTTCGCCGGGTCAATCAGCAATGTTTCTCACCCTGACATGTACCCAACAAGACAAGCATGAATTGGGGACAACCCTAAAATCTAAAAACAGATTCTTCTACCTGGGGTATGTATTTAATTACATTTTAAAATGAAAATGTGAGAATTAAAACCCGGGAACTTTCCAAGTTCTCCCAGCAACAAAAAGGATGCATATAGCTAATCTTGAACAACCAAATGTCTGCTAATTCAATTGCCTGAGTTCCAGTCATTAGCCAAACAGTCTTCCAAATTAAGACATCCGGTCTCCTTCAATTTTCCACTTAAACCAGAACACAGGACAAAAGATTTGACCAATCAACCAAAGATAAAATTATACATGAGAAGTGACTTACGGTATATGGATTCATAGTTGTACAGTGTATTATAAAGAACCTATGCTACCATTTTAAGTTTCATGGGTTCACGAGTTTCCTAGGCAACTACCTCAACATTCTTGATCTAGATTACAGAAAATGGGTCACATCATAAAAATGTGCATTATCTTAAATGACTAGAATGTTTTGACATTTCTATTTGAGTGATTTAAGGCATGCTAATAATTTCATAAACTCTGAATAGAACTGATATTAAAATAAAGATGCCATATGATACACATTTAGAATCTACTTAATACGTGATCACAATAAAACACACACATACACACACACACACGCAAGAAATTCTCAGTTCATATAATTTATTGCAGTTAGCACACAGTTTAAAAATTCACCAACACACCAATAGTACAAAACTAAACAGCATTATAAGTTATTCCCCCCTCAGGAAAATAAAACATACTATGATTGTCAAAGCTAGATGTCAGTCTAAGTTTTAGAACAAAGGAAGAATGTGAAACTAAGAAAAGGAAAAAGCAATCACTCACAATGACCACAAAAAGAAAATCCAAAAGAAAGTCCGTTTTCTCACAGACATTGATTGTCTTCTCTAAATTAATAAAAATTATTTTAAACATAAACTGTATTTAAAAAAAAAAAAAAACTAGAAACTCTTCAAGTAACTAAAGATAATGCTCCAAGGCCATTTTCACAGCTTTTTTTGTTTGTTTGTTTGCTTTAAATGCCATTACAGCCAAATTAACACACATTTGACCAAATATTTCCAAAACAGTCCAGCAACACACAATGGAGTTTTCCATTCAGTATCTTAAGCACAAAAATAGGCTATGTTTACAGTAGTTAAGGCGATCAAATTTTAAACAAAAGCAATTAAAAAAAAAAGGGAAAAACAGCAAACGTTTTCCATGCTACTCCCATAGACCTTATTTGTAAGTGCAAGACAGGAAAACAAACACTGTGCAAAATGCTTTTGCCCCATGTGCTGGTCATTAAAACCACACGTAGGGCTGCAGCCTCTGCTGCCGAGATACACATAGTCTACTAACCCCCTTCCCCATGTCAATCAAGGCAGTCCAGTCCTTTCAGCCTGGGGCTTTTTCAGTCCATAGAATCTTTTCATGAGTTGGGGAGGGTCGAAGGAGGGAGGGGAGTAAGGAAGAAGGGAAGAAAAAGAAAAGGGGAGGGGATAAAAAGAGAGAGAATGACCTATTGTCAATTTGTGCAGTAGTTATTCTAAAAATGCTCAACTGGGTAAATGTGTACACCTAAACTTTGAGCTGGCATGGGTTTTGTGCAATTAGGAGTTTGTTATAAATGCACACTGCACATGCAAATCTTTAAGCCGTTTGTAAACATTTATATTCTCCTTGTTATGTAGCGAAGTTATCAATTTGCAGCTTAAGTTTTTATTCAGCTTAACAGTTTCAACTTAAAGACAGTGGGAAAGTCAATTTAAATTATATAAAATAAAAATAAAAACAGTGCATTTACGTTCTTCATAACACCAGTTTTTTTCCAAATGGTGCTATTTTTCTAAGGAAATTAAATAATTTTAAACTCACTCGTTAAAGTTATACAATGCAAACAAAGACAAAAAATATATTGAAACTCATGCATTTCTGTAGCGTTAATATTTACTTTTCAAGACTCAACTAAGAGCATCAACACAACCTGTCAAGTTCTTTGACACCCCCCCAGCCCATGTAATCAATTACAGTATACAAGAACAGTAATTCACATTTTTAAACACACAGTTCAACACTGCTGAAGCTGCAATATCCTTTTTCATCCCAAGCAAACCTTCACAAAGACAGTGTCCCAGTGATCCCAGTGTACTTTCAGAAATTCTCTCATTGGGAACCGTCAGAAAACCAGAAGTTGCCACAGAAAGTTTTAAGTCAACTGCTTGTTTAAAAATAGATAATCCAGCATTTCAGAAATTTTCCATTTGGGTCTAAAAGCATTCAGGTTTCCAACAGCCAGAAAAGATTCATGCAATTTGAGACATAGAAAGAGGCTAATAAAAACTGGAGGGAATTTCTACCTTGAAAATAAAATTTTAAAATGGTGGGGGAAAAAAAAAAGAGCTCAGAAGACAATGCAGTGTTGACGAAATTAAGCCATATGAAAGCATTTTGTGATAGGACAATCTGTTTAAAAGGTTCTTATTGGCTTACTTCCCCTACCCTCTCAGAAGGAAAAACACCTCTCTATTCTCTTGCTCTAAAGTTTCTTTTATCAGAACGCTAAATTAGTGAGATTCTCATGCTATTCTAAAGTGCAAAAACAAGTTAATATCCCAACTTTTTAGTTCCAGGAAACAAGACTGCTTTTAGACCGTACCACAACTATATAGAGATCTATTTATATATATGTATATATATATTATTTATATATATATATAAAATTATTTCCAAAGTTCTTGAGAGCTATCTTCTAAGGTCCAGTCTCTGACAGCAGGCAAGCTCAGTGCTTCGCTTTTGACCGACAAGGAGTTCACCAACTCACAGTGGAACTTGCGAATGTGTCTGTACAGGTCTCCGGACTGGGTGAACCTGCGTTCACACCACTTGCAGGCGTGTAAAGAAAAAGTCATTTAAGAAAAAAAAAAGAGCTCAGAAGACAATGCAGTGTTGACGAAATTAAGCCATATGAAAGCATTTTGTGATAGGACAATCTGTTTAAAAGGTTCTTATTGGCTTACTTCCCCTACCCTCTCAGAAGGAAAAACACCTCTCTATTCTCTTGCTCTAAAGTTTCTTTTATCAGAACGCTAAATTAGTGAGATTCTCATGCTATTCTAAAGTGCAAAAACAAGTTAATATCCCAACTTTTTAGTTCCAGGAAACAAGACTGCTTTTAGACCGTACCACAACTATATAGAGATCTATTTATATATATGTATATATATATTATTTATATATATATATAAAATTATTTCCAAAGTTCTTGAGAGCTATCTTCTAAGGTCCAGTCTCTGACAGCAGGCAAGCTCAGTGCTTCGCTTTTGACCGACAAGGAGTTCACCAACTCACAGTGGAACTTGCGAATGTGTCTGTACAGGTCTCCGGACTGGGTGAACCTGCGTTCACACCACTTGCAGGCGTGCGGCTTCTCGCGGGTGTGCACCACGGCGTGGCGGCTCAGGTTGTGCGAGTACTGGAAGCTCTTGCCACACTGGGTGCACGTGTAGGGCTTCTCCCCCGAGTGAGTCCTCTCGTGGCGCTTGAGGGTGTACATGCAAGAGAAAGTCTTCCCACACAGAGAGCACGTGGGCACATTGACATCGGCGGCGGGCTTGCTGCGGATCCCGTCCTGCTCGCGGAAGTGTGTGCTCAGGTGGATCTGCAGGATGTGGGGGCTGGGGAAGACTTTGTTGCACAGAGGGCACATGAAGATCTGGCCCGCGGGGCTCAGGATGTTGGAGACGTAGGGGAGCAGACTGCTCTCCATGCCCCCTTCCACCGGGACACGCTCGTTCTCCGGGGTCATCATTTCATCATCACTGGCTTTGTCCTCCCGGTCCAGCTCCCTCAAGACCGAGTCCTCCCTCAGAGGAGCCAGATGGGCCGGCTCATACTGTACCCTGTTATTAGTGCTCACACTTTCTTTCACAGTGCTATGTTCCATGTCATAGTCATTAGTGCCAACATCACTCTCATCACAGGACGCCTCTTTCTCCACCTTCACCTGCACCAGGTTGCTTCTCAGCACGTCCTGTGAAGAGAAATAAGAGCTGTTCAGATTTTCAACTCCTGAAAGGCTGGACTTGACAGACAGGTCCAGCACACAGTCAACATCTGCCGAATCCCTCACGGAGGTGACAGACCTCTGGGACAAAGACTCTGTTGAGCTGCAGGGGCTGGCTACTGTTTTTCCAGCTGCTGTGGCGTGTGGCTCTGCCTCTCCGCCAGCCTGGGGGATGCCTGCTGAGTCTGAGGGCAATCGCATCCACATGTTCCCAGGCTCGGCCGCCAAGTCCCTTTTGCTGGGCAAGATGTTCAATTTTTCATCTTCTCCTTCATCTTCATCGCTGGGCAAATCGCCTGCCATGTGGCTGCTGCCATCGGAGAGGCTCTCGACTTTGTCCGAACAACTTGAAGCATCTTCTTCCTTTTTGGTGCTGTCTGCTTCCGTGGTGGCTTTCTCTTTCAGCTTCTTTTTGCAGACTTTGACAATGTCATACATGTGGAGATAACTGGCAGCTGCTAGCACGTCTTCAATGGGCAAGTCTTTGAACTGGAGTTTCCCTTCATACATGAATTCAAGCAGGAGAGCGAAAGCGGGGGCTGTAACAATGTCGCTGTTCAGATGAACAATGTCTCTTTTGTCCAGCTGGTCCTTGTAAAAGAGGTGGAAATACATGCTGCATGAAGCCAGTACAGCTCGGTGCGCTCGGAACTGGGCATCTCCCACCAGAACAGTGCAGTCACAAAGAAAACCCTGGTGTCTCTGCTCACTCAGACACTGCAGCAAATGTCTACTATGGTCTGGAAACTCCATGCTGTCTTCATAACCTGAGAAGAGAGGAATTTCTCATTAGAGCCTGGGCAGAAACAACTTTGCAGCGCTCTGGTCCCCATATAACAAAATAATTCCGCTTTGGCCGCTGAGGTCCATGTCCCTGAATTTTAATCAGGCTTATGACCCAGGGACTACCAAATCACATGCACGAGACCTACATGCGAGAAGCGAAACGTGCACTTTCCAAACTTCCTTACCCCAACCAGTCTGATGCATCTCCACCTTCCCTGAACTTTTTTTTAGTTACGTTTTAAAAGCCTTCATTTAACTACAGTCTCTTACTGAGAATAAGAATTTAGATCTCTTTCAGAAGAAATTTAATTAACTCTACTCATCAAATTATGTCCTATAAAACCTACAAAACAGCTTTAATTTCAAAGGAAATAACTCCTATAACGAACAAAGAAAAGTCCCAAGCACATTCTGGAAGATTCAAGGAAACTTGTTCAACCATCCTTTTTATTTAAGTGCCTTTGATACTTGACTGTGCTTAGAAAGTACAGTTTAAGCACACACACATTTGGCTGAATCAAGAAAAAAATGAAATTGCATAATTAGTCCAGAAATTAGCAAACAACTTACTTTTAAAGTCAGAGTGTTACAACAACAAAAGCCCTGTGTATAAAAACAGATGTTAATGCCTTAAGATTTGCAGGTATAGCACACATGCACGAGATCAGAAGGAACTACACCAACAGATGGAAAAGATCATCTTTACTATGAACAAATCCAAAGATTTTTTTTTAATGAATTGAGGGGAAAATGGTGATATTTCTTTGTAGAATCTGTATTTCTAGAGTATTAGGAAACAGAGGGGCTTTATTTAACTCTGAAAATTCTCATCTAAACTTGGATCCTTCCAAGGCAAAATGAGGTCCCTATTAAAATTAATTCAAACTTCTAAAATACAGGCAAACCACGCTCGAATGAAACTCAAAAGCATTACAGGTTCAACTTTTTTTTTTTTAAGCCTTTTGAGAAAAAGAGAAACTATTTCCCCCCCTGGCTCTGCCTTACTTCAGCCAACAGAAAATACTTTGTTACACCATAACTTGATATATTTTGTTTCCCCACTAGCTTCTATTATTTCAAATATGCATCCTTGCCCTTGTTTTCTGGTGAGGGAGGGCGAGGAGGAGAGAGAAGAAAGGCAAAGATATACAAAGGGTCAAAATGCAACTGCAGTGGGTAAACTCCTCAAAAATGAAAACCCGACTTCTTTCCTGTTTCCAGAAGCAAGGATGCACACCATCCATCTCCGCAAGTGCATTTTGGGAATGGATACCCGTTCATTTGCTCTTCAGAAATTACTTCCCTTCTTCTGCTACACTTTGCCCAAGATAAGACTAAAACTTTCATCCTAACCCCAAATACATTCTGCAGGATGCCACACTGCTCGAATCAACCAAGATTTACAATACAATCACTTTAAGTGCCCCACAGCTAACATCAATCCTAATCCTTGAGAGGGCTAAAAATAAAGATTGGAGGGCAGCTCACAAGGTAGCCGTGATCAAATTAGGAGGCTGAGAGGACAGAGAGGGACGAAGAAGGAAGCTTATAAACATCTGATCCAGCTGACTGTGGCCATATGGCAGCTGCTGCCCAGATAAAGAGATTAAGAATAGAGGAGTGCGATTACAGCTGTCTGGCCAATTCAGGCAGCTCAAATCTACAAGTTCTAAATTAGTCGCCAACACAAAAACTCCTGCAAATAATTATTGTTATGCTGAAATAAAAGATCTCTTAAATATATATTTGAAAGAGAAATGAGGAAACCAGTCAAACTATTCTCCTGGGGACAAAAGTTTGGTTGTTGTGTTTTTTTCCCCCTTCTTAAAAAACCTTCAGTTTCAAAAGCACTACAGCTGTGTATTTCAGTAGTACTGATGAATGTTTTGAAGAATAAAGTTTCACAGTGGAATTAATTACACAACAATCTAGCTTCTTAACTAGAATAATCTTCTCATATAAGTTTGAATGCTGGATTCCAAACAGTTTACTATTTCTCACCCCCACCCCAAAGCAAAAAGGACTCTAAATAGCAGTGAACAACAACAGAAGAAAAGCATTTTAATCCAAAGTGATCTCAAAAAGCAATTTTCAAAGCCTTTCTTAACATTTTCAAACTTGAAATATTTCTGTGTATTATTTACTCCCTCAAGTAAAAGGGATAAAAATGAAAACTAAACAAGCCCAAGACTTTCAACTTCAGCAAGATGTTCATTTAATAATTTCAAATCTTATTCCTCCACTGGGTTAGAAAAGTAATGTGATTTTTTTTTAAATTAAATAAACAAAACACCAAAACAGAAATATGCTCGATCTAATCTCTTGCTACTCCTACCTTTAGGACACATAAACCTGATTAAGTCCTTTCCTCTGAGTCTTGCTGGCTCCAGGTCTGTTACATCGGTGGAAAAAAAGCAGACTAAGAGAGACAGATGCAAAGTGGAGATGATGTTAGAGAGGAATGAGATACCTTCTCCACCACAGATCCGCACACACTAACTCCCTGTCTGTGTGTTAGAATAAAAGGCTGAGGGATGGCAGGCTGTCAGCTGCTCTGACATCATGTTCAGATGGAAATGCTACCTCCAGCTGTGCTCCTTTTAATGCCATATGCTACTCCTCTACACTCCTGCCACCAGCTTTTTCTTAGGAGAACTTTTCTCTTCTGTTAGTATAAACAAAATACTTCAAAGTCTTCCTTTTTTTCCAAACTTTCTAACAGAAGAAATTGAAAAACTCAGCATATGGAGTTCCACTGTATTTATGGAATAGCAACACTTCTGTCTTAAGTTGGTGGACTGGCTCACATACTGACAGCACACTCAAGCCACGGTGCTATTCAGGAAATCCAGATTCACTTTTATTCAACTCCAACGTTTAGTTTCAAAGGCAGCTTAGGGGATATTTTTAAACCAACCCATTTGACATCTCCAGTCCCATTTCAACATCATTAGGGCATTACCCTCCCCCCCCTGAGATAATGGTATACATGTCTTAGAAATGTTGGCACACTTATTCAGAACTATTACTCAGCCTGGTCCACTTTGTTATTTCACTTATTTAACTACTTATCTAAAGTTACCTTCTCGGTAAAATTTCTCACACTTCCCACGGTTAATGCAAATTTCAATTCTCAGTATCAACAAGCTGAAACTGCACTTTCTCAAATCCTGGAAAGTACTTCAGTTCAATGAGATAAATTAATAAACTGATAAAACCTGCTATAGTCACTTAAAATGAATGCTGCACCTGCGTATCTGATCGCCTTTCTGCTCAGAAAAAGCAGAACCTTGTCCTCCCCTTGATCTGTGTCCCATAACAATCTTCTTTTTGGGTCACTCTGTGATGTTCGTGATCACAAGAAAAACTTTGCGGGGGGGGGGGGGGGCCGGAACTTTGCGGGGGGGGGGGGGAGCGGGTAAAGCCAGGTCTAATAAGTTTGGTAACTTTTCTGCTACAGTTTCTGGCACTTTTCTAATGGCTGATGAAACTGTCGTAACCCGGGCTGGGCTGGCCGGTGCAGTGCAAGGTGCTGCGACATCTCTCAATGTCAAATACATCTCCGCAAACTCTTTCGGGAGAGTGAGGCATCAAAACGGACCTGGGGCCTAAGGCCCAAGAGTCCCAGCGCTGGTGATAATCACTTCTCCACAAAAAAACGTAGCCAAGAGTTAAAGAGTAACAAAACTCAACGATTCTGTCCAGTCCTTCTCGCGTTTCCAAAGTCACAAACCTAACTTTCTCTAACTTCGCGGTGAATAACATAATTACGAATGCCTAGTTCAGGAGGTGCTCTTTGGAGAAAAATTCCTTCCCAGCCACACAACCTATTCTCCACAAATGCCCTCGCCCCGTTCCAATATATCAGACATTAATCACCCCATTTACCCAGTGGGGTGGGGGGTGAGTGACAGTTTAATGAGCCCCAAGCACCGCAATGGGCCAGCGACTCCCACTCCACAAATCAACTTCTTCACGTCTCGCTACCGCGGATCCATAGAGGTTTTGTGAGGTTGGGGTTTTGTTTTTCAAGGAGGCAGGGGCGGGGGTGCCCAGTGGGGAAGAAATGCAAATCCTTCCGTAGTTCGCTGTGCACCTAACGCACGGGGAAAGAGGAAGGTTAAAACCACAGGGAAGGAGGTGGAGGGCGTAGAGCCGGTGCAGCAGGAAAACACCTTAAACAACAGCCGAGAAAACAGACCCGGGTCACGGCAACAACAAAAGAAAAGTCGTAAGAAGAAGCCAGGGGAAGGAGGGTGGTTGCTACCGCTTCCCCGACGCCACAGCGCTCGAGCCCCCGGGGCCTCCCGGCAACTGCACCAGCCCGGGAGGCCCCCGGGGCCTCCCGGCAACTGCGCCAGCCCGGGAGGGGCTCCTTCCCCCGCCACCCCCTCCCCCCGGGCGCCACTGCAGCTGCACCGGTCCCCGGA